GACGTCAATGGATGGTTGTCGAACGTTGCCTAGAGATTGTACATTTCGTCGTGAATTGTCAACACGAGTTGGTGTAATTGGTAAGGCGTGTGGATTACACCACAGAGACCCCGAGTTCGAGTCCCGCCGTAAACATGAAGTTTTTTAGTTGATGGAAGTTTTGTCGAACTTTCTGGAATTATTTGTGTGAAAGAAATGAAAAATTAAAGAGCGAGAAGGAGAATAAATAAAAATGAATAACGAAATTATTGGAAGGTTCTGGAGGCATGACGATCAAAAAGAATAACGAAATTGAATGTTCCAGAACCTGACCGGGGGTATATAAGCGGAACTGCGGCTCACCGCTGGCAGTTGAGTTCTAAGTCTAAAGCGGTTCGGAAGAAAAGGAAGAAGTGAAAAAGAAGAAAAGTGAGTGAAATAGTGAAGTGCAGTGAAATAGTGAAGAGCAGTCAGTTAAGTGAGTTAAGTCAGCGTGAACGGCAAAGTTGTGTCAGTCGGCCGGACTCTGCTGGAGAGAAACGCCGATAACTTAACTCCGTGGACGCTGTAACTTAAGTGCAATAGAAAGTCTGAAAACCGGTATTAGTGTTTCATTTTATCCAATCCCGTAACCCAAGCCCGCATAGTCAGGAACGTGACGTCAGGCACGTAACATTTTATGGAAATATTTGGAGCCGTTTTTGAGGTTTAGACTCGTTTATATTTACAGTTTTTACTCGTTTATATATTTATATAGGAGAATTCGTCGTGTTATTATGTCAAAAGATAATTTTAGTGAAACCTCTGTTCACCGCATTGGCAATGTCTAAATAGGGACCATGATTAAATACAAATAACTGACCCAAAGAAATAACCCAAAAGTAATTTATGCTAAGGTCAGAATCATAATTTTCATGGCAATTACCTAAATTTATACAGTTTATTTAGCTAAATCAATGCCAATAAGTTAATGGGTAGGTACCTACTAAAATCCTACTCAAATAAAACAGTAGCACAGAAGCATAAAAATATCTTAAAACATCCATACACTAAAATAAGAGCACAATTTCATAATAACTGCTGACTGTATCTAATGAATGGCTCTTATACTCATCGTATAGATAAAACAGATAAATACCGTACATTTACATTCATTGCTTAGAGTGAATCAAAAGAGTTGGAGTGCTCTGAAGAAATCAGCAGATACAAGATAATGGACCGATCCAATCACTTAGTGGGGTGGACCTCTCTTACTAATACACTACCTACTAGCTACCAGGCACCAGCACCTCATGTATAAATTTACAAGGCTCTATATAATTTGCTGCAGGATGGCCTTTGTTTATCGTTGGCGTGCTATACCACACAAGATCTTCAATCTTGATTCGGTTACAAGTCTGATTAATTCGCTTGTTTGTCTAACAATGGCTTACCAATTAATGTTTTGATGGCACTTCCTATTACTTTGACAAACATCGGTTTTCGTGTTGATGTCAATTGTCTGATTTATCCACTTTTTAGGGGCGTGGACGCGTCGTATATTTCAAATACCTCTTTAGAACTGCGATTGTATAAGATACGAAATTGAACGTTAGGTTTAAAATAGAACCAAGTTCCTATCCAATGTTTATCATAAATTTCATATGATTTTGGCCAATAATTTTAATACAATACCTAGTATTTTCTGAAAATTATTACGTATGCATATAAAACTGGATTTTATTCACATAAGCAGTAGGCTAGCACGGAGTGGTTACATTATTTGTTATTAAAAATATTCTTAAACGGGACTAAGATAACGTGTATCTCCTCCCCTCAAGGGTTTTTTCAGCACGACGCTGGAGAGGCTCGCTCTATTTCCTACAATTATTCGTCGGAAATGAGATTTCGGATTAGACCGCCGTCTGATGAAGACGTCTACAAGACGGACTGAGACGAAAAAACAATTAAATATAGACAGATTTCTTGTCTTCTATCAATTACAATTTTATTGTTTATTGTAAGTAGCCATTTAACCCGCAGACTTTTTACTTGAGGCTTAGCAAAAATTGGCAAAATCATTATCATCATGGAATTTTGTTCACTGTTTAATTTTTATATTTCCGTACCTACCCAAAATATGGAGCTCTTTTATAAATTCGTAATTTCTCTACCTACGCCTGGTCCTCTATGCCTGTATGGAAGTAGAGAAAAAATTACACTTAAACAGCTGCTATTAAAAAAATCATCAAATCTAATACACTGCGCGAGAGACACTTGAAAAGAAAAGTGAATAAATAAATTGTGTGTGTGTGCTTGTGTGAGCGCGCGCGCGCCCGTTTGTGTATGTGTGTGTCCCAACTAAACCTTATTATGTTTTCATCAATCGCAAGATTAAGTATGTACCTACCTATCTTGCTACTACGGAACAGCATATTATTAATAAAGTAAAAAGAGTAGTGTAAGTCAAAAGCTGTTACATTACTTGGCAGTCCTTTACAGTATACTATACACAACTCCGTTAATTAAAAGTTAACAAAGCCGGCGTCTAATTGGATGGTTTATCTATACCTACATATAAGACGCTGTATGTATGTACACACTCGCAGAGTTCATAATAATTACATTATTGTTTGCTTCACGTGTTATTATGCTCGCTGAACAAATCGCGAGTTTAAGAATTCCGGTACAATAAATACAACCTAGTCCACATATTACCAGAACCTAAATCATAAATCTCCAGAGCAGCATTCAACCAAAAAGCTACTAGCAAATGACCCGTTGAAATTTTTCTAAATTGCATACAAAGTGTCTCTTACAGACTTGTGGGTTCTGACGGCTATTACTTACAACGCAATATCAAATTGCTTTCAATTTATTTCGCAATTGCCGTCTTTGAGTTTCGCTTTGTAGGGGCCTCTGACGTCGGTCCGAGGCAACAATAAAATGTATTCGTCTCCGGAATGTTTAATATGGGGAAAAGTTTAATAACGCGTCCGGGCGGGCGGCGAGCGGCCCTGCAGCCGGCCGGCCCGGCCGGGTGGTCAGCGCGCCTCACCAACCGACTACGATAAATCAAATCTTTTACCTTCTACGTCGCTAAGAAAAATCCCTATTACATTCACAAACATTTCTTCGACCACACGATAAAAAATTACCGTCCAATTATATTCGTGACTAAGTATTTTGCTTTGTAGCAATTAGGCTTACCTACTACCGATGTATAAAGTAGTACTTATATTTTGTGCGGCGGACTTGGTCAACGTTTTAACACGTCATAAGATTAAAACTTTAAAATAAACATGGTTTTCAAGTATAAGTGTAGGTAAATAACTCGTGCTTCTTATTTATTATTCGTAATATTTACGATAGGTAAATATTGAATTAGAAACCACCAATCTGCATTATGTGAGTTGTGGAGAAGGACCACATTAAATGTTTGATAAAACCCCATCATTAATTAAGTGTCTAGATATTCACGCAATATTTTTTTAACACTTTCATAACAACAATGGAATATGCAATAAGTATGTTTCATTAACTTCTTCAAGTCGTACAACGTATCCTAATAACAAAAACTCTCCTTAATAAGTCCTTGAGTTCTTATGTGGTGTCATTTTAATGGTTGATGACATTTCTTCATAAAAATCCCGCAGCCATTGTTCATCCAACTCACTAAGGCGATGTGTCGTTCTAAAAAACTGTTGTAATTGGAAACATTGTGACTGCAGCTCATCAAGACATAGCAACGAAGCTCGGCTCTGGTGTCTGCGCCGCCGCCGACACAATAGCTCCCTGACGTTAATTAAATGTTAACAAACGCCCTCGTCGTCTAATTGGAACTGTTGCCTATTATCCTTACCTTTCGACGCGGAGAATAACTTCCAACCTCGTGAATTGTACTTGAGACTTTTTACTCGGCTTTCTTCAAATTGACTGACTCATTGCTTTTGTTTTCAAAGATAAGTAGACAGCCACTCATTCAAATACAAAGATTTTTAATTGGTGAAAAGGTACAATCAGTCCCTTCTTCTTGTACCTAAGTAGTAGGTGATACTTTTTTTATTTGATCGGTTGGCATAGGAGCTGCGATGGGTTCCGTGATGGCAAAGATGCTATAACCACTATATCGTCATTGCCTGATGGTAACCAATAGGCGCCGCCCATGGACACTCGCAACATCAAAAGAAGTTACGAGTGCGTTGCCGGCCTTTGGGGATTACCTATGGGCTTCGTAGATTCAGGGTTTAAGGTTTGGGAAGGGATGGGAGACGGTGAAAGAATATATAGAACGATAAACGTAACTAATATTTTTTACATTCAGTAATACTTAGTCATCAGAATCTCCTTAGTAATTGAAACATGGATACGGTAATCAGATAATGAGGAGGAGGGAGGGGGTAGATTGATCCTCCAGTAAACTCACTCACACGTCGACACACTACGTAAGTATTGCATCACGCCTGCTTTCTATGAAGCCGTGGTATCACTCCGGTCAACCTGGCCCATTTGACACTATTGTTCGTAACTCTGCCCTTGCTATTGTTAGAAACTTGTGACTAACTAAGCTAAACGTCACAAATTTATTATTTTTATTTCGGGTAGATAGATCCGATAGTTTCGGTTATGATAACGGAGCTTCTTAACGTCCCTAGAATACATATACTTACCAAGTTTCAATAGTATACTTCTAATCATGACTACTTAATGTATAGTATGAAACAAGGTCGCGTCCTTTGTATATATGTATATCCATAAATCTGTAAAACTACCTACGCAAATATTTTGACGCTGTTTTTAAATTTTTGCCTTTTTAAGTAATGGTCCTTAACATCGAAATTTGATAGGTTTTCTATTATAAACTATATTGATTTATATATATTCAGTAAAAGAATACTATTGGAAGTCTTCATCATTAACTTACACTTTACATTACAGAATGTTTTAATTTTCCTTGGTATTAGTCAAATATTTACTAAAACTACTTGAACGCATTAGAAATTATTTTGTTGCTGGCAACATTATAAAAAAAAACAATACGTCAATGTTATTGTCATCAGATTGTCAGAATATCCCAAAAAGTTTTGTTTTGAATTCGAAACCTAACCTCCAAAAGTAAAAGATTTCAAATGCAAAATAATAGTAAAAATCGTGAAAGCACCATTTATTTTAAAATAGTTTAGAGTGAAAAATTACAATGTCTCATATGATGGCAGGTAGACCTGGAGGAGAGTCGGATTCGGATCCAGATGACTATTATGGCTTCCTCGAAAAGCCGGTTAGTACTATTTATTTATGTTGCCATTATAGTGCAAATATCTAGGTCGATCTGAGATTTATTTCCAGCATCAGGGTAAGAAGGCATTTTAAATGTCAACCTACGCCTGTTTAGAATTAATACTAGGTAATTATAAACTACATGTGGTAGTTCCACAATTATATTTGAATGGAAATATGCTTTGACGATCTGGGTGACAATGATGAGGAAAGATCCAATCATAAAATCCTAATATTGAATAAAAACTCTTTGTAAATGAAGGAAGTGGTTAGATATTTATAAAAGCTATTTTTTTTTTAATAATTTATGTTACAAGCTCCTCTTTTTAAAACTTCTAAAATTAATTGTTTACAGCCCAGGAATTACTTCCAGTATCAACAACAGGATGACAAAAAAAAGCTTGAGATGGACTTGCAGGATGCCATCATTAATGGAAATTTGGCAGAAGTGCGAGAAATAGTTACTACCAGTAAGATTTAATTTAAATCTTAATGTTGCTCTATGTTGTGCCCTAGAAGATGCAGCTCTTATTCACCCAAAAAATCATTTATAACACAATTGTTGAGGTATTTTGTGGGTACTTATACAATTTTTGCTCAGTTTGAGACACTATTCTTGCTTCCGGGACTTATAAGGATACAGGAAGTGTTAAAACACAAATTAATTCATAATTATGATAAGGAACATACTTAAATGGCTTCTCTTACCATGAGTAGGGTTAGAAAGAGGGTTTAAGGATCTTAAGGACTAAAAACCACCCCACTCTGTATCCTGCTCCAGGGTCTGGGACATTACAGATTAACATGTAACCCCATCTGAAAAATGTTACTGGCCAGCTTACAATCCAAAACTTTTTTGTGTAAACTTTTTATTCCCTTTACCTTACTTATTACATAGTATACTTATAAACTCTTATTATTTTCAACAATATAGAATAGCTATATTTGTTTTTTATAAATTTTTGGCTGATAATTTTTTATTCCCATAAGTCTCAAATCTTTAAAATTGTGATTTCAGGATTAAACAACAATGTTAACACTCGTCTGGACAGTGGCTGGACTGCTCTCATGCATGCCTGCTTTCATGCACAGGATGCTATTGTTAAATATCTGTTGGACGAAGGTGCTGACCCCAATTTTCGCGCAGGTAGGAAGGTCGTCGCATTCAATATAAGGCATTTTTTTAAGTTGAGTAATACAGAACAAGAAATGTTTGATTTTTTAACATTTCAATTGTGGTAAACCGAGCGACAATAGAAGAACACTAGGAATTTGAAAGCAGGTGTTTGCTTGGGGCTCGATTAATTAATAATATATATTATCATTCAAACTGCCTTGAAATCACTGGTTTTATAAGATAAAGCACATTTATGTATTTCTTGTCCATTCATGATCTTAGTGTCCATATCTAAATATATATTCAAATAAATATTGTAACATTACAGACTCCATGACACCAATAATGACTGTATGCTCAAACAGTAATGCCAGCAACGAAGCCATATATAACATAGTGACTAACTTATTAGAAAAAAACTGCAAATTAAATTGTATTGATAATTACGGACAAACTCCTCTCATGAAAGCTGTTGGATGTGGCAGAGTTGATGTTGTACAGAAATTTTTAAATCTAGGAGTCAATATTGAAGTCAGAGATCTACAGGGATGGACAGTAAGTACATTTAATTTAAGTTCATAGTCTTAAATATTTTGTGTCTTTCCTACACTAAAAGATCAAAAGTTGAAATGTGTAGTGAACTTTTACTAATATGAACATAGCATTTAGAAAATGAAAGAATTCTTGATAAATATTTATTACCTAAATAATTTTGGTATTAAACAATCCTTCATCTTTATATGGTAGATTAGTCTGTAAGTTCACATTTAAATAAAAGAAGAAAGTTTAAGTTGGTTTGTTCAGTTTAAGTCAATGAATATAATTTTACAGGAAAATTCGATGTTATTGATAGGGCTTCTTAATTGCCGAAATTGATAAAATTAGCATAAATCTCGGACATTTCTCAAATTCTGGACATAATGAAATAGACTTTAAGCCAACCTTTAATTTTCGATTTCTGATGGTATCTGAGCATGTCACTCAGACAACAAACCCCTGCAGAGTGACCCATTGACTCTCTTCAAACAAGACAAAATCCAGAAACTGATGGCAATTCTAGTTATTGATGTTACCATTACATTACAGGCATTGTTCTGGGCAGCTCATCACAATCAACCTCAGATATTGGAAATCCTAATAGCCCGTGGAGCGAGGATGTCAGAAGTTGATAAGTACAATCGCACAGCTTTAGATTTAGCGGAGTTACATGAATATACTGAGATAATAGAGATTCTGAAAAGGCATCTTCAAATTCCGGAGGACCATGAAGACTCGTTTTATATGGAAATTACGACGTGGCATGATTTTTACCCTGGAATCAAGAAGGGACAAAGGTAAGAAGATACAAATTAGGAACTGGTAACGGTTCTTATGTACCACATCAGAAGGCCACCTAATAATGTACCGCGGCCCCGGCCCGGACCAGAAGGAACAAGGTAGTTTTAAGTCAGTAAGAGTCTCACTCTCGCCCGAAGCTTTCTGTCTTACTATAGTGACCTTACTAGGACATTAAACCTAAGATCCCTTAGTAATGATATCTCGTGCGATGCAACTAGGAATATGAGGCGAGATCTAATATTTAATGTTCGGAAATTAATTTACCCAATTAGCCATGTATTTTCTAGAGAATTCCTTTTATTACATCAATCATCAAAAACCCCTAAATTTGTCTCGTCATCTCGCGATAAGATTCAATTTCCAACCTTGGACAGACCATAATCAGTCCACTTGAGGGTAAGAGTTTGGCAATGGGCAAAAACTGTATGGTTCACAAATAACCCAGTTTTATTCTCTTTTTGTTAGTGTTTCTTTACAACTATTATTTTCTCCTCAGTCGTAGAATCGTTAATAAACATGCAATTGCACATACACACTCACATAAACCAGCTCAGACCCGGGACAACAATTTATGGATCACATAAAGTGTTGTTTCGTGGGGGGAGACAGGTTGCCCAGCAGCTGGTAGCCCAGCTACAGTCACATTACTTAAAACTCCTGCCGTTATTATAACAGTAATACATTTACTTAACACACAAACATCATTGTTTTTCCAGGCGCTGTAATAAAACTATTACTGTCTATTTTACAGTCCAGACTACAGAAGTGAAATCCCTCATCTGTTATATGGTATGCACCTTGAGAATTTCACTGCAACCATTATGAAGACTGGCATGGACCTGAGAACATTCTTATTGCTAGAAGAAAGTGATATGCTGAAATTGGGCATGGACTTACCATATGAACGGCAGAGGCTGAAGTGTGGACTTCGGAACTTTCATAAGAGGAACTGGAAACTTAAAGCCGTATCAGGTCTTGCTTTCCAAGATATTGAGAATTTTAGGTAACTATTCCTTGTTATAGATTTATTTTGCATGCATATTTAAGTAAGGTATAGATTATAAGTAACATACTTCTTCTATGTATGTCCACTTCTGAAAAAGTCTTATAGAATAGGTACATGTACCTAGTCTATGTTCAGATCTAGACGTAAAGTTGCCCTCCCCTAATTTTTTTATGGTGTATGTCGGCAAACGAGCATACTAATTACCTGGTGGTAAGCAATAAACGCCGCCCATGGACACCCGCAACACCAAAGAAGTTACGAGTGCGTTGTCGGCCTTTTAGGGATAAAGGTTTCGGTAATTTAAGCATTGGGAAGTGATGGAGGGAGGGGTAGAAATTGGGCCGCCGGTACCTCACTTACACAGCGAAACATTGCTGTAGTTGTTTCACGCCGGTTTTCTGTGAGGTCGTGGTAACTCCTCTACCACACTTAAATAATTGGCTCCAAATTGGCTGTTGCAAAAGAATTAAAACTAAACAGAAATCTTTATTTAATAGTATTTTCTGTACACGGCCTTTTCTATTCTGAAAATACCGACATGTTTCGTGCAAGCCTGAGGGGCTTAGAAAAAGACAAAAAACTTTATACAGATAGTATTTCTACCGTGATTTCTACGTATTTATTACACAAATGACATGTACCTACTTGATAAGTGACACTTTCCATTCTTACAAAATATGATTTTATTTTCAGTATGCTTAGCTATTTAACTTCTTTGGGTTCCCATCTCCATCAAATATACGTGCTAGAAGCAACCCTACAGTATACTCTACGAGAATACAACAAGATTCAGGATCAAATCAAATTTGAGCCGCCTGAGTCCCCGATACGGGACAAAATGGTCAACGCAGCCAAAAAAATGCTTACAAATATCGATAGTATTAAAAGAGCTTCTGGAAGAGTCCGGATTATTTTGGAAAAGGTGAGGAAATGTGGTTTGTTCTTTTTTACTTCATGTTATGTCGCGTTAAATAAAACATGTATGTTTTTATTTCAAGAGTAGATTGTAATATGTGCGTCAATATAAAAAAAAAACCTACTCAAAGACATGCGTCACGCCTATCCTGTGTCAAGTCGGCAAAGCCACACTCATTATCAAGTTCTTGATCCTATATAGCTTGAAAGTAGAACAGAGTTGCACATTTCTCTATTAGTATTTAGTAATCAAGATGAAGAAGGTACAGTTCCATGTCCCGTGACTACTGAGTTGGACTCCTTGTACGAGATTTTCAAAAAACTAAAATCTTTAAAATTTATAAAGTACTCGGATGTGCCATATTTCTCTGCCGGGTATAAAGTGAAAGTCCCTTAATCGGCTTTCCTGGCAGACGTCGGAAAAGCAGGAGTGGCCACAAAATATAGCTTACTAGCTATCAGCGCGCGGTTTAACCCTCTACAGCTTACTTAGCAGTCCCCGATCCCCGAGCTATCTAACGACAAATAAAACGACCTCGGCCTGGAGCCGGAGAAAGAACTTAAGTTAAAAAACTAATAAATGACTAAGTACGGTGAAAGAGGCTGGAAGACCCGTGTCATTTTAAGTCAGTAAGAGATATTCTTGCTAATTTTCCTGGTTAAAATAAAACCAATTTGCCGGGCAAAAAGTAGCCCGGGATTTATTCCGGACTATAAAAATTCGTCTCTACTAAATTTCGTGTAGATTGTTTTATAGTTTTTACATGTAAAGTAAAAAAAAACATCAATCTTTTTACAAACATTCGATAGTATGATGCTTTAAAATCTTATTGATACATTATTTAATTTAATACTACTTATTAACAATAGGTATATGTTTTTAGATAGCTGAAAATAACCCAGAGCCTGCGGATCTAATCAAAGAAAAGTCCACGCAAGACATTGTACTGGGATACTTTACTGAAGCCGTCGTCGTCGCCTCTCTGTGTATAATGGTCTACCATGCAAGACACTGGTTCTCATATTTTGTAAGAAAATAAACGTGTGTTATTTATTATAACTGTTATTGTAAGTTCAAATTCTGGGGGCTGATATATCTGTCGCGGGCAACAAGCTTAATTAGCCATTGAACCTACAGCCTAAATAACCAGCCGGCAGAACGGCTGAGTTTCTGATGCTGTTAGTAGAAAGAAAGAATAGACCAGGCCGTTAATTGAAAGGCTTATTCAGCTTGTTGGTTGCGACACTTTAATTGATGTCTTTTGTTCGGTCCTGTAAAGTTTTTGTGTTGTTTTCCTATATTGCTCCTTACAATTTGAAGTTTGCCAGTTGGAAAATGTCGTTAATGTTTTTGACTCACGCCAAGCATGGAAAAAACATTAAAATTAAATGCATCGCATATAGTACATATGCGATGAGGAGTATCAAAATTGATAGAGCAACTTTTTTTTTCATTCAAATGATTTTTGTAGTTTATCTAAATTTGTAAGATAAAGCAGCCATCTTTATTTTACGGATTGGTAAACAAAACCATATCGTGAAATCTTTGTAATATAAAAGCACGTTTTACAACGCTCGCTGTAACCAAATATTTTTCCCATTAAGTACAAGTATTTTAGGTTTGTACTGTTAGCACAAATGTTTTGAGTATTGTGTACTTAACTAATAAACCGACAAACAAGTTTTCAAATATAATTTATGTTTTATTTATTAATGTGTCAGAAAAAGTATGGGTACATATCAACCGATCGATGAATAAAAGTATAGTTATTTTTTAGTTTATATTGAAACGTCGAAGTTTTTATCTATACTTGTAATTAATCTGTAGAGAGAACTATCAGGGAATAATCGGGAATAATTAGGATAAGCGATTGATACTGATGACAAAAATGCAATCAGTAAGGTTTTTGTCTGTCTGTCTGTATGTTCCTTAATAGAAAACAAAACTACTCGACGGATTTTAACAAAACTTGGTACAATTATTCTTTATAGGTACTCCTGGGCAGGTTATAGGATACTTTTCATCATCACGCTACACATTATAGGAGCAGAGCAGTGAATGGAAATGTTGGGAAAACGGGAGAAGTAACTCCCTTTTTTAAATTTCCGTCGCGTGTGTAGCCTTATTGGTTAAAGTTACATAGAAATGATGTATGACGGAAATATTCTACATAAAAACAGCGAGGCCGCCGGCGGAAGCTAGTTTTCAATAAAGTGCAAAAAGTTTTTATTATTGATAGAAAAAATTAATATACAAAACCAGGTTAACATGAACTCGCTTTGTACGATCCATGACATGATATCTGTTCACGTAACGGTCACTTTTTATAGGATAGGTCGGAAAATGACTAGACCGACCTGATGGTAAGCAGTCGGCGCCATGTTGGATGTTGCGACGAGTGACGCAACATCGTAAGTACATAAGGGTAGCTCGCCGCCGCCCCCGGCCAGAACCAGACCCGAGCATACCATGCGTAGAGTTCCACGCGCGCCTCAAAGTGCCAATAGACCTCGCCGGAATTGCGGGGTAAGCACGTGCAATGAGGCACCAGGACTTCGGCCTAGACCAGCAGAAGGAGGGGGGGAGGTTATTCAGTAAGAGTCTGCCACTCCCTGCCATTGATTATATTCATAACAAAAGGATGTGTAAAGACAGTCACCAATACATGCAAGATATCAAAGACATTATTGTAGTCATTGAGGATTAAAACTTCGTTTCCCTTACGTCTTATTTATTGGTAGCTGTGTACTCGAAAGAACAATTTTTTTTTATTATTATTTATTCTTTTTTAGTGCCTCGAGGTATTTAGTAAGTAATCTAATAAATGTTATCTGACAACAAATTTTCTCATTAAAGTATCGCCAAGAAGTTGTTATTATTTCTCTAAAATGTGATTTATTATGGCAGCACTGATTTCACGTGTGACTCTTAGGTGTATTTTTAAATGTCCTATAACACTTTCTTGTCTGAAGGGTAAATTGTGACAAAATGCAATTATTTCAGCTGTCTTTTGCAAATATGTAGACTCGTGCAGTCCGCCAATCCGCAAATAAATGTTAGCTCATGTTTGAAACATTTTAATTACAGTTTCTTATTTTATCTGGCGAACTTTAATCAAGAAAGAATTTTAGTCGCCGGTCAGTGTCAGTGAGACCATACATTCGGGTTATTATTTTTAGCTCGTATTTTGATTGATGTTTTAATTCTTTCAGCATGTAGGCGGGTTTTATTTGGAACAGTCACTGTGTTACATCTTTACGCGATGAGTTACTCAGGCCGGTACATCGGAGTACTTTATCATTGTATAACACGTTTATTCTCTCTATAATTCATTTATTTCAACAGCAATCATGGCACATCATACACGCACATTGAAAATTATGAGTGTCACTTGCCAGTCTGCTGGCGGCCTTGTCACTTACAGTTAGATGCATTTAGGACTTGGCCGGCATTAATTAGAGCTCGTTCATAATTAATTACACGTTATTTGTATCCATTATTCATACGTGGGATGCAGTGTGGGTGAGCTTGCCGATGCATTCATGCGTTGCATACAACTTTGTTTTGTCATCACCTATAGACACCTACCTACTTAGGTACCTACTGGAGTTTATTTTTGTTATCCAGTGTATAGCGTAGGTTCCTACCAATGAAGGTTAAGTTTTTTCTAGAATAAACTGCTCAATATTATTACGAGTTCATATTTGCACCTATACTTACATGATAAGCATATAATACTAAAAGAAGGACTGTAGCATGTAATAACTAACAGCTGAGGCATAAAAACGTTTACTGACTTTGCACTTGACCTCAACGAAATTATGTCCCGAAATATAGTCTGCGTAAGCGCACAAATATGTTTGTTGACATTTCAGACACTCGCTAAGCCAATAAGACGTTTGATTAATCCGTTGCAGTTCTTTTAGTAGATAATAGCGTTAGCTTTCTGTGTTTATTCGTACCCTAAGTCCTTAATCTTTGTTGATAGTACACTTGCCAGCTTATCGCAACAGTCAGCCAAGTTGGTCGATCTCATAATACATTACTCTGGTCATTAAATACGGACTTCATTTCAGCATCAAGTACATATCTACCTACTTTGTAAGACACTGATGTTACCAAGATAATTTTATTGCGAATAATAAAATTTTGTTGGACTTTCCCTACTGAATTCTGTGAATTAATTAGGTAAGGCCGGTTTTCAATTTAAATTATTTACTAAATATTGTGACACAACAGGAACAACACATTAAAGATTTAACGAAAAACGATTGGGCTTTATACATATTTGCACAATAAATATTTAGTATATCTATCTAACTACTGATCGAACTAATAGAGTACCTAAACTCCTTACAGTAGGTACTTAAATAGATCCTCTATTTAAATAATATACCATGCACGCTTACATTTCCATATGTTTACATTAAACATGGTTTGACATCTACCTACCTTATTCTGAGAATGTCAGAAAGCAATATCGTAATAATAACGTAATCGACTACTATTGACGAGTTATTGTTTAGTAATCGAATGATGGCGCCAGTTATTGGTAATTTATAAGTAGATAGGCAGGTATGTATGTTTCGGTTGAGAATTCTATCTAGCCGTTTTGGTGATGACTCATTTTCATAGAATCTAAGCCACAGAATCACTTTGGCAATAAATGATATACAAGTACAATAACTACCTACCTTTAAGTATGAAAAGATTTAATGTAGGTACCTAACAGATTTTTTATTTATAGATATTGATCAATGTAAGTAAGAATTTTAATCGATGTTACAGTCGTGGCGGCCTTTAGGCACAGTAAAAATAGGTCACGCGGCCGCTTGTCATGAATGAGGGTAAGGTAAGGGTTCGAATCCTTGCAAGATCTGATATGACTATTTTCGAGTTACCGTATCTATACTTATGTATTTCCTGTAGTTAGGTACTTACATAGACACCGCTGATAAACGGCGAAGAAAAATATCGTGAGGAAACCTGGTATTTCTAATTTTAAGTTAAAATCGCCTATCCTCCGTGAGCTAGCGCGGTAATTAATGCTCAGTGCCTTCTCCGTGTGAGAAGAGGCCACTTATGCGAAGTAAATCGATCGAACCCGCGACAAGTTACACACCAGCTTGTTGCCCAGCCTTTGCGCCTACCGTGCATCATACAACTACTTACTTACTTAATTATCATATTGCCTTCAACGGTATATTCTAGAATCTGGAATACAATTGTTAGATGCTAGAACCCAGAATAGCAATAGTTAAGTTTCATTTTTACCAAATTAAATGTCCATAGTTTCGTACGAAGCCGAAGTTCAATAACCTCAACGCGTTGAGGACGTCCCAAAATTGAAAAAATAAAAGAAATAATAATTAAGTAGGTAGGTATGCAGAGTTCCTTCACATGTGTTGTGTTAAGACGTTTGCTAATTATTTGTTCTCAAATGTGGCTCATTGTCGTTAATGTTTTCTTACTGTGTCTTTATGAGCGCAGTGGACAGAATAGTGCTTGGACACGGCTATAAACTGAAACATATTACAGGTGATCTGTTTATTCAGGTCAACCTCAAGAGTGACTAATTTATTTAGCACATAAAAGACAGACATTATTTTCTTAAGCTTCTTGTTTATTCTCTGAAGGTGTAGACAGAAACGTAGAATTATTCTGTTAGTAATTGGGGCGCATAGAAACACCGAGGTGCCTACTACATATGAGTACCTAGTGCTTCTTTTTAGCGGCGAGGGACAGATAAACCCACTGGACACAGAGGGCCTACTCAAAGCGTCATGGTAGGCGTACTGAACACTATTGAGTTGACCAATGATGAGAAACGTACCATTTTATACGTTAAAAAAAACACAATCCTCTAGCGTGAGAAAGAGCCAGGTTGTCGTCAATGTGAGGACTACCTCGGAGGTCACGGTCGACGAAATAATAGGTAGTGGTGTGTCCTGCTGGGCTGAGTACCACCGTGTCCTCAGGAAGGAAGGCCATATTCGAGGCAATGTTGCGAAGCAAGGAACTAGGAAGCCGTCTTCTCTTTCTGCGGAACAGTCATGCTCGCAAAAAAGAAGGCGGAGCACTATCCTACTATTAAGGGTACTATACTCCTCACGAAGCAGCTAC